ATGTGTCTTTCAGCCATTTTAGATTCCTCTATTGAGAATTGTCTATTTAGTTCTGTACCCCACTTTTTAATTGGATTGTTTGGTTTTTTGGAGACTAGCTTCTTAAGTTCTTTGCATATTTTAGAGATCGGCCCTCTGTTAGATGTGGGGTTGGTGAATATTTTTCCTGGTCTGTGGGCTGCCGTTTTGTCTTGCTGACTGTGTCTTTTGCCTTACAGAAGCTTCTCAGTTTCAGGAGGTCCCATTTATCAATTGTTGATCTCAGTGTCTGTGTTACTGGTGTTATGTTCAGGTCTCCTGTACCAATTAATTCAAGGGTATTTCCCACTTTGTCTTATAATAGATTCAGTGTGGCTGGATTTATGTTGAGGTCTTTGATCCATTTGGACTTAACCTTTGTGCATGACTATAGACATGGATCTATCTGCAGTCTTCTACATTCCAGCATCCAGTTATGCCAGCACCATTTGTTGAAGATGCTTTGTTTATTCCATGTTATAAATTTAGCTTCTTTGTCAAAAATCAGGTGTTGCTAGGTGTGTGGGTTAATATTGGGTCTTTACCTCTATTCCATTGGTCTACCTGTCTATTTTTGTGCCAATACCAAGCTGTTTTCAAGACTATAGCTCTGTAATAGAGCTTGAAATCAGGGATGGTGATGCCTCCTAGAAGTTCCTTTATTGTACAGGTTGTTTTGGCTATCTTGGGTCTTTTTTTTTTCATATAAAGTTGAGAATTGTTCTGTCAAGGTCTGTCAAGAATTGTGCTGGGATTTTGATGGGGAGTGCATTGAATCTGTAGGTTGCTTTTGGCAATATTGCCATTTTTACTATGTTGATCCTACCTATCAAGAACATGGGAGATCCTTCTATTTTCTAGTATCTTCTTTAATTTCTTTTTTAGAGACTCAAAATTCTTAAGGTACAGGTCTTTTACTTTTTTGGTTAGCATTACCCCAGGGTATTTTATGTTGTTTGTGGCAATTTTAAAGGGTGATGTTTCTCTGATTTCTTTCTACATGAATGTATCATCTGTATATAGCAGGGCTACAGATTGTTTTTTGAGTTAATCTTGTATCCTGCCACCTTGCTGAAGGTGTTTATCAGCTGTAGGTGTTCCCTGGTTGAGTTTTTTGGGTCACTTATGCAGACTATCATATCATCTGCAAACAGTGAAAGTTTGACTTCTTCCTTCCTGATTTGTATCCCCTTGATATCCTTTTGTTGTCTTATTGCTCTAACTAGAACTTCAAGGACAATATTGAAGAGAGTGGACAGCCTTGTCTTGTACTTGATTTTAGAGGAATTGCATTGAGTTTCTCTCCATTTAATTTGATGCTGGTTGCCGGATTGCTGTATATTGCTTTTATTATGTTAAGGTATGTTCCTGTTATTCCTGATCTCTCCAAGACCTTTATCATGAAATGGTGTTGGATTTTGTCAAAGGCTTTTTTCGCCATCTAGTGAGATGATCATGTGTTGTTTTTTTCTCAGTCTGTTTATATGGTGGATTACTTCGATGGATTTTCATATGTTGAACCATTCTTGCATCCCTAGGATGAAGCCTACTTGATCATGGCATGATTTCTCTGATGTGTTCTTGGATTCAATTTGCCAGTATTTTATTGAGAATTTTTGCGTCAATGTTCAT